CATCTTTTTCCACCCCACCCCCACCCCCCCTCAGGATTTCGTGAGGCTGGATGGTTGGCGGTGCGTGAGGCGGGTGATTTATTAGCCTGTTTTTTTCTTTTTTTTTCACGTCCTCTGTGATGTTGGGTGTTGCGAAGGGCTTCAGCCACGAGCAGAGCGATCACAGGCAGTGACTGTTTAATGTGTTTTCCAGCTCTGGAACCTCCAACATAGGAAAGACATGGACCTTTTAGAGCTGGACCAGAAGAGGACCACGGAGATGCTGGGAGGACAGGCTGGGAGAGTTGGGGGGGTTCAGCCTGGAGAAGAGAAGGCTCCAGGGAGACCTTATTGCAGCCTTCCCGTGCCTAAAGGGGCTCCAGGAGAGCTGGGGAAGGACTTTTTACTAGGGCATGTAGTGATAGGACGAGGGGGAATGGCTTTAAACTGAAAGAAGGAAGATCTAGATTAGATGGTAGGAAGAAATGTTTCACTTTGAGGGTGGTGGGGCACTTGCCCTGGTTGCCCCAAGAAGCTGTGGCTACCCCATCCCTGGAGGTGTTCAAGGCCAGGTTGGCCAGGGCTTGGAGCAACCTGGTCTGGTGGGAGGTGTCCCTGCCCATGGCAGGGGCATGGAACTGGATGGTCTTCAAGGTCTTGCTGTCTGAAACATCCCCCCGTTTGGTGATACCCAAGAGGACCTGCATTCTCTCTGCAGGGACCTGATGGCCAAGTTACAGGCAGGCAGAGAGCTTCCTCGGATTGCCGTATCCCACAGACACTGGTTTTCCAGCCATCTCTCCATCTGCGCTAACACCCACCTCTTCTGTCCCCCAGCAGCTGGGCTGATGGAGCAGTGAACCTCTTACCCATCGCATCTTCCCATATGTCCAAATTTCCCCCTGCACCGTAGGCATGCGATGAGCAGGTTGGTTGGGATCTGTTCTTCCTTGTAGCGTAACACAGTGGCAAAAATCCTCGTGTCTGGCAAACTTGTGCCGTGTCGAACGGCGTTACGGCAGCAAATATTCGCAGCCCCAAAAGTCATGTTGAAGGAGTTAAATGCTTACGCTGCCCGGTGCCAGACTGCCTGGCTGAGAGCGCTCGCAGCAAAGTATGTGCCGTAGAGAAGTTTCTGCGCTGAGTCACGCGTATTGAATGCCAC